TGCAGACATGACGAACATAATTGAGATATTTGTGTGTTCATCAGTTAGATGAAAATAACACACAGCTTCATGTACGTATATTGTTTATATTTAGCAGTTTCATTTGTTTGTTGTTGTAATTTTTTTTCTTGTGTGTACAACAAGAAAAGTTGCAATTGTTTTGCGGTTATTCAGGACTCTAATGTGAGAACATTGAGAATTTTCCAATTAAGTAAAACTTGGAAAAAAATTTCGTCTATATTTACGTGTGCCTATGGGTGTATGAGCGAGAGCATCTGCATCATATAGCTGCGGTTTGCTTTTATTGTTTGATTGTAAAATCAAAACACAATAAAAAAAATATATACCGCAAGCAGAGCGAAGGGAGTTTTTAGATTTTATTCGACTAAAAATGGTTGAACAGCCATATTATATTTTTTTCTTCTTTTTCTGATTTCCTCCTCGTTGGCACAGACACAGAAAATCTTTTTTTTTGCTACTTTTTTTTTTTTTATTTACACGGCCTTTTTTTGGTTATTAAAATATATCAAAAAATAAAAGCAAAAATATACTCGCATTTCTTTAGGAAAATTTTTCAAATAATGTAAAAATCTGAACTAAATATACTATTATTATTCAGTCCTTCGTCCCTTTGAGGACAGATTTAAAAATATTAAATATCCCACATCATTCCGCTTAATTCATTACACTACTCGAAATAAACCGTTACATGGGGTGTCGTCGATGAGCTCGTCCGATATGGAACCATTCGTTGTTGGGCCAAAGCGCAAGTACTTGCGTTCTACAGCTGATTTGAGAATATGCATAGAATCCATAGGATTAGTTGTTTTAAATGCGATAGTTCTAACAAAGAATAAAATCTAATAAAGAAAATATTTTGTAACATATGTTGTTTCGTAAGGTAAGGATTTCTCTCCCATACAAAGGCAGCTTTCGAGACTATGTTTCCAGAGATATACGCTTGATTGAAAAAGTAATGAAAAGTTTATCAAGTGTCAATCGAAAGCTGTACTCATGAAAGAAAGCGAAAGAACTTCTCCCTAATTGACGTGGCACAGTAAGTTATGTAACATTAATTAATAGTCCTGAGGATATTTTCTTCTATTTAGAAATCTGTTGCCTTTCTCTACTCGCTTTATTTGAATGATTTGTCAACTAATTTATTCACTAACGTAAGCGACTAAAGCACCATGACAAACAAATTATCTTCATTGCACAACTTTGATATTCTATCCTATAGAATCCTTAGGTTTTCGTCGTTGTCGTTTTTAAAATTTTGGTTCTTGCTGCAGAGATTGCAGAATATTTTTACAATATTTTACGAAATTGAACCCTCTCGACCAGATCTAAACACTCAATTTAAAATAGTTCTATATTCTTATTAAGTTCTTTTCAAATATATTCCGCAACTGTCACCAAAATGCACACATTTCTCTAGGTGGCTCTGGGAAACATTGCAAATGTTTACAAATTTTGTTGCATTTTTAGCGATCTGTGCCTTGCCTTAATCCGTCCACCGCGGTGTGATATTAAAATGTTACGTCGTCTGTAACAAGCCAAAGAAGGAGCAAAGATCTCTCCCAGTAGAAGTTAAGAAATTTTGTAAAATGTATAAGTTACTTGACAACAATCAACTTATTAACTATCTCTTAAAATCCCGAACATAATTTGGCTTAACTAATTTCTCTTCACAACTTAAGTTAAAAAGTCAGCCAAGCCGTTTAATGGATCTAAAAATGCATATTATATTATTTTTTTCTTCGTAATGGGTTGTTGACCTATGTGCTTTGCAGCATATTTGTACGTTATTTCCAAACGCTTTACAAAAACTATTCTAAAGCATTCCAAAGATCTTTTCAAGTTACCAAAAAACTATTTTTAAGAGTTTCTTATGCACATTACACAATTAAACAAGAAAAGGATGACAGTTTTACAAACATTTTCGTTGCCCATTAACTGCATTGTTTTCATTATGAGGCTTTCGCATAAGTACAAGGAAGGAACTTATCATCATCGGGAAGTATATGTATTTTTTATGGAAGTCATAGCATCTTGGTAAAATTGCACTCACTAAAATATTTGATAAAAATACCTCAATCTGATCCAGAAAATGAATGTTGTTCGTGCCCTAATCAGTCAGAATACCCTCGCAACAAATAAAAAGCGCATACGAGAATTATATGTTGCTATCGCCGAACCCTAATTTCCCTCTACCGTAAAAGGAATAAAAAAAAAAATTAAATTCAATGCGCTATAATATTATGTAGGCGTTACCGATTTTTCCTATTTTCCCACAGAATGAAGGCGAAGTCTTGTCTGTTGTTTTATCTAGCGCACATTATGAGTGATGGGGAAAAGTCGAAGTATCTTGATTCTGAAAGTTCAATTCACATAATACCCAGCGCGTGATCGATTTCAGTTCATTTTCAACACTATCTTTCGTACAAGAGCTTACAATATTTTTGACAAATTTAAAGTCCGTATATTAGTTATTGCGCTCGGAGGTGTGTTTATACAGGGGTACAGAAAGACGGACATATACGCCTAGACCGATTCGAAATTTGATTGTGATCAAGAATGTATACAAATTACAAGATCGCTGAAGTTGGTATCGAAAAAACTTTTAAAATTATCAAACAAGTAAGAAAGTTAAATTAGGCTGGAATCCACCACCACTAAAATCTTTAGTTCACCAAAATAAAACTTTATATAACCAAATTTTTTTATATAACTTATTTTAATTTATTCTTTATCTACAATGGGACGAACAGTGTATGCTGTGTAGATTTTTTCATCGCAAAAATGAAAGTTCACCTTCATATGCACCATTTAATTTAAGGTATTAAATTTGTATTTTATTCTTTAAATAGATAACTGATAGTTTGATTAGTGTGTAACAAAACTTGTACAAAGAAAAGAATATATTGCAACAATAAACGAATCGAAGTCGTTATTTTTAGTCATAATTCCTTATGCACATAAATATGCAAATCAAAATACCCAATCGGTTAAATATATTCTAAATTATCCAAACACTTCGTGATAATTAATTTAGAATTAACACATTTAGCTTGTCGCATTCTACTCTTCAAGTTCTTTTATGTGATGCGCATATGGATACTATTATTAAGAAAAAATTAATCGAGTTGAAAAAAAAGAAAATTTCAAAACTTATAGCTTTGTTTGGTCATGACCGATTTTGTTGCACATTGTTGCACATAAAATAGTAAAGTCCTCTGTAAAGAACTTGTAGAAAATTTGAGTCATTTATCTTTCATAATTTCTGAGTGATAAGCACAAGCACACAAATTTTGCTTAGAGAAACGAAGTTGCATTCACTTCACGCTTTACGGCGGGCGAGTGTTGCGGCGAATTTGCTCCATTTACAATACCAACCCGCATGCAAAAACTAAATTTGAAATCAAGTTTGAATCCAACATTCCAACCAAATTCGAAGTCGATATGAGTCAACAACACACACCACATAGACAAACAGACATACCTTATTCAATTCAGAATTTGATGCTGATCCAGGCTATGTACACTTTATAGGGACTTTGAAGCTTCCTTCTGAATGTTGCAAACTTTAAGCCAAAACGGTTATACCCCTTTGTGTTGAGTGTTATAAAAAAGTTCTCTTGATCTCTCTAAGTCAGTTGGTTTTTTTTAAAATGTGTCATGTTTTGAAGGCTGGTCAATATTTTTTGAAATATCCCAAGACTTCTCATTTCGAATAATTTGCTAAAATTCCTCAACAATTTTTTTAAGAATACGCTTTCTTTCTTTAAATCTATCATCGGGTAACTCTGCACAAAAATTGTACAGTATTTTAAGTTAACAAAATCATTCATTCATTTTATCGAAGACGTACGAATTATTTATGCGAAGCCTTAGATATGCTGAGAATAGCCAATCATCCTGCGTCTTCCAATTTCGTCGTCAGATATTGAAATTTAAATCAATTTATTGCAAACGTAATTTAGTTTCAATTAAATTTTTATCTGATACCTTAATTCTTTGTTAACGATTCAAAAATCTTCTATTCTGTTCTTATATCAATGGCGCAGTGTGATATAGTTTAACAAGCAGGAACATCAAGACGAAAACAACAACAATAAAATGAAATCTTCAAATTAAGTAGAACTAATACCTAACACATCGCTTTGTTAAAAACTGCAACTAAACAATGAAAACATCCTGCAAGCAATAGAGAAACTCTTAAAACAATTTCACATATTTGTCGTCATAATTGTAAGAAAATGTGTAAATAATACGCGTGCGTGTTCTAATTCTCTCTGGCTAAGGCCAAAATCACCCTATTTTACAAAGTATAACTTATTTTTATACGTACGTACGTGCGCACGTACACGCTTACTGCACAATGTGGAATAAGTTTGTGCTCAGCACAACAAAAGGATATTTTGTATAATAAAATCCTTAAATCGGTTTTTTCAAAAACAGAGCTGTATACGATATATAAATCCCGCCCAGTTGATATATGCGATAGCAAAAGCAAAGAGGCAATACCAACACACCTTATAAATCATTACCACCACAGTTAGAAAATTAAAGGAAACCGGTTTCCAATTTGAATTTCCCCTCTTTTTGTATATATTTGCTGCTATGATGAATGGTAGCGAAACGCATACACACACATGCACACAGCCTAACGGCAACCATGGAAAGATTGGCTTTTATTTCTTTTTTAATAATTCGTTAGATCTTTGTATGTATGTGTGTGTGACTACATGGAATTGATGGACTTTCATATTTACTGCTGCCTCCACTGCCAAACAGTACGTTGCGAGTTCGTTTCACGTATTCAACGAAACTAAAACGCGTTACGGTTTAACGTCTACTGAAGGAGTTTAATCAGCTCAAATAAGCTTAACAAACAATTTATAAAAATTAGAAAGCGGTTTACCATTAACGTGGCAAGTTGATTGGCAAGTGAATATTTTTGCAAGAAAAAAAAGTAAAAATACAAAAACAAAATTTTACGATTTATTAATGGGAATATTGAATATTTATAAAAATTAATACATGCAGGATTTAAGAAAAAAAAAAAGAGATACAAGTGTTAATTAAAGGAATTTGATTTAGAAAACAAAAAAATTCGGAAAAAAAATTTTTTATTTCTTTTTTCTTAAATATTTAAAAAGAACAACTTTTATTTTTGTTCTTGTAAAAGAAATGAATATTAAAACTACACCACCGCCGCCGCCTACAACTGCCGCATCTGCGACGACGAGTGCTTTGCTACAATCACCGCCTAATACACCCCCTAACTCCGTTAGCTTAGTTGCTGGTGGCATGTCTGAAGTGCAAAAACAAACCTTTCAACATATCTTTGAAAAGTTGGTAACAAGTAGCGGCGGCAATGCAAAAATTCCCCCAAAACAATTGGAACATTTTCGTAATCTCTTGGAGAACGTACGCGATGCTAAAAATTTGCAATTGATTGTGGAGAAATTTAAAAATCTTGAGCAATTTGATATGCAATACGGACTTAATGGCAGCAAAAATGCAGTTTTATGTGAAGGTAAAAACAACCGGCGGTAATTTCTTTTTTTTTTTGTAAACAATTTAAGAAGAACTCTCTTAGAGCTTTTCGGAGGAGATCTTTTTACCCCACGAAATATGCGATGGCAAAGTGTTATACTTTTAAGCCGTAATAGTTCATCTTTTTATATAAATCCTATTTAAAGATCGTTGAAAAAATCCGTTTGCAAATCAGAAAGCCTTGACATATGGTCTCATGCAGAAATAGTGACTGAGTTTACGAAACCATTTGGAATAAATTACCAGAAGGCCGTTTCATCTGCCATATGGATACAGAAAGTTATTTAAGTTCAGCGAAGAAAATGGAAATGTCAATTATATGATCGGGTTACTAATAAACGCACAACTTTCAAAAGGCTTCTCACCTCTGAAAAGAGACATAAACGACGCCGATTGAAAAGGACGCCCTGCGCTTGAGGTTCTTTCTCTAAAACTATTTTATGATTGATTACATTTGCTGGTACAAGAATGCCTCACTGACTTTGAATAAGAATACGTCAAGTCTAATCGCATTCCCACAGAAGGGCTCTTAGCATTTTTAATATCTTGTTTTCAAAACATATTAAGCTCAATCTGAAACCTAAAGTATTCGTAAACTGAAGTAAATATTAACCAAAGCTCTTCTTTGATGTAAACAAACAGTTAAGATTATCGTAAGCACAGAACTTATAAAGTCGATCAGCTGTCATTGAATAGAAAGGATTTAACTGAACAGAGTAAATACCTAATAGTTATTTAGGAAAGCCTACGACATTTTTGTCCAATTAACCAGACAAATATTGAGGTAAGTTTCGAAGATGTAATTAAAGAATCAATGGCCCAAAGCATATAAAGAAGAAACAGCTCTATTCGTTTGCATAGACTTCATTTCTTTTCAATAATGTAGGTCTTAATGCAAAAATGATAATTAAAAAGCACTGGCTTCTGGATTTCTATGAATTTCTTATTCTGTGTGCATTTATAAAACAAAAACCACATAAACATCAATTAGTAGACTAAACAATTCTGAAGTCTTTTAGATGCGAGAAAAGTGTACATCTTTACTTATTCAACGTTTCATTATAATAATGTTTCACTATTTATCAATTCATTGTTACTTGGCGGATTCTGGTATATGCGGTGTATCTTCGTATTTAAACATGTTATAAAAATATGCCGATTTCTTCTCTCTAGATGAATTTAAGAAGACTTTTTAAAGGGTTAAATCAAATCAATGGTAAAAGCTGGGCAACAAGCTTAGGCAAAAAAACTTTCCAACAAAACTTAGCAAACAAACTTAGCAACAAATCTTAGTGACTTAGATTGCAGTACAAGTTAGTTAAGAGTATTTTCTGAGTTAACAATGCCCTATAAGAAATCTTAAAAAACACATGATACATTAGACAATGGAAAAGGAAATTAAATCTCATTTAAGACCTAATATACCTGAGTTTCTTTGGAAGATGTATAAATTAGGCAACTCAGCATATCGTAAAACTAGTTTTTATGATTTCGAACCGTAAATAATGTAATCTACAATTGCTTACTAGAGGGAAATGAATACTGAGCAATAAACACTTATAAAATAATTAAAACAGAGGAAAATATATTAACAACAGGTCTCCTAACCGAACATTAGCAAGCAAGCTAAAAATTATCGATAGAAATGTCGGTCGTATTTCCCAATCGTAAAAAAAGTTGAAGAAACAACAAATAAAAATTATTGCCAACGAAAAATTATATGAGAATAACTTGGAATTTATTATTTCAGGATTTTTTAAAAAGATTTAACATGCCCCCTGAATTTTTATATAATGTATAAAAATATGCAATAAACATTTTAAGCTCGAAGTAAGTGCAAATGACTTAGTCATACTCTGCTGGCCGATTGCCATCTGCCCGTCCGTTTTGAAGACGATTAGGATCTCAAAAATTTTTCTCGGATGTTTATTTACCTCGGCCTTGCAAAATTGAAATCGAAAATCAAAAAAATTAGTCCAAAGAAAAAAACGCAATGTCAACATAAGACCGAATAAATAATTATTGTACGATTGTAACAAGTGACAACATTCCGTCTGTGGAGTCAATGAATAATGGCAAACAGAGACCACTTATCAGTGTAGCTACATATCCAAATTGAAGATATTTGAAAAAGACTTCTAAATGAAAAATTCTTTCTTTCCTTTTTTTTTTAATCAACAGAATGATCTTAGCCAACCCAACCGCATAGTCTATTGCGTCTGCTTGCCTTCTACCTTTTATTTACCATGACAGTGCTTCTACCTGTCTTCAGTCAACCTCAAATTATTTTCGCGCATTTGTTTATTAAAGATATGGACGCCTGTTCAAATTTTTAGTATTCCATCTACTGCTTGAGTTTAAACCGGCTTAATTGACATTTAAGCGAAGAACGACAATTTTTGCATAAATTCAGCTCAATGCAAAAAAGAAACAATTTAGAAACAATTTAAGTCATTGTTGTTGACAGATAATAATATTCAATTCGCTTTAACATGAATATTCGATAGCCATCACATCAATTCAAATTATTTTTATAAATTAAATTATATGAACGATGCAAATTGGTTGACTCCAGGCAAAATTTCCCAAAGTCTATAACTTTTCTTTCGCCATTGTGAATTTGGGGTGTACGCTGACTAGAGCCGTTTTTTCACCGCTGGCTTAAAAGAACTTCGTATATATATACATATATATATATATATATATATCAAACGAGCATTAGACAAATATATGCGGTTAGTCCGTTGGATCTCTTTGCTGTCAATTGGGACGGTTGTATTATGAGAAATTTCATCTCTCTAGCCCAATTTTGGTGATCATGAGCGTTCCAGCAATAAACAAATAGAAGACTTGGTTAATTTGACGCAGCAGTTCAAAAATATATAGAATGCGGTATATTCCTTCATGTAATAAACGGATAGACAAATCAAGACTCTATCTCACATCACTTTCAAAGAATTATTCTACCATTTTCAAAACTGTTAGAAAAAATGAATGCTGGCTTTAAAAAAAAGATTTCTTAGAAAAATTTTCGAATATTTTCAATTTCAATTTTTTTGTTTAATTTTATTGTCTCTCTCTCTCTCTCTCTCTCTGTCTGTTTCACACTGAGTAGGAATACATTAAGTAAGGGCAACTGCAAAATGTCTACAATGCATAATAACCTGCCCCGTTAACAGTGCAATTGCATGCGGTAAAGCATCTATCGTATCGTACCATTACTTCATAATTTTCAAAAAACATTTTTTAATTTCATTAAAATTTTATCTTTTGGCTTTTTTGTATTAAATACAATGCAGTCAGTGTAAAATTGAAAGGAAAATGTAAACAAACAATTATGGAAACACTGTTTTATGAAAAAAACAAAAACAAATACCAACAACAAACATACTTTAACGATCTGATAAATAACCATTAAAATAATGATAGACTTTAATTTGTTTGCATACGGAGAGAAGAACGACAAGCGTCAGTATTCTTTCTAATCACACAACAGCAATTAGTCGCATTTATTTACATTCATAATTATTATTACGTGCACACACATAAGCACACACACAAACCCAAGGAAAACCACACTATTGTCCGTTAATACACAAGGGTAATTCAAAAACCATAAAAAATAGGTTAATACGCGGAGAAAAACTTGGTCAACTTATTACAGAAAAAGATATGACGAGGTACAGGTCTTGACTTAAGTATGAAGCGGGATAGAATAGACCCGTAGAGATCAAACCCTGATTTAATTAAGTGTAATTGCCAGTAAACACGCATTTAAGTCAACAGCAACAATAGCATAATAAGCGACATTTTTTAAACCTTTTGCACGCATACATTTAAACAAACCGGTGACAGCATTTGCTTTTTACAACATTGTGAAAACTGTTAATGAATGGTTTCTATGCTAAAATAACAAAAAAATAAACATGTTATGCTAAATTAAAACTAATTATAGTGCATAGTTTTAGGGACATAACGTGATCTTTACAAAAATATTAAAAATATTTACAGAAAGTAATTAAAATACATTTCCACGAAAATTGTTATTATCCTTAAATATCGACATGCAGTAACGAGCACATATATACATAAATATTTATATATATGTATACGCACGTTCAAACATGCTCTTTAATGCAGTTTACATATTTCTGTCAATTTTTGAAGCCAAAGAATCCAATTTTTTCCTTTTTTTTTCAATATAATATACCATAAACCATTCACTTGCGTAGTGTTTCTCGGTTCATTTAAAATATGCGCAGCCTTAATTACGCCCATAGTTAACTTGTTAGTGGTTGTTATTGTTATCGCTTTTAAATTATGTTGATTTTAATGGTCAGAGTAAACGCATCTTTTACTTTATGCTTCCTTAACTATAATTTAAATTTTTTAAATTTTCAATAAGCTTGTCAAGGTCCGAGAGGACAGGGAGGACAGTTAAAGGCTTTTTAATTATGTCATTCATTTGAAAGGAAGATGAAAAACTACTCTGGGAAGTTTTGATACATTCGCACATAATGCCCGGATTTTGTTCCATTTTCTCTCTACAGAACGATCCTAATGATGTATACTGGCCTGGGAAAGAAGCCACACAAATCATTGTTTATCTCTCAGACATTCCAAAAACTTTATAGTGAGAAAATATTACTGGCTTAAAAAATTAGACCAGTGTGCGTGGCTCACAACTTTGAATTTGCTAAAAGAAAAAACAACCAAATGATTATAAAAACCAAACAAAATTAAACTAAATACAAAGAAAAATAAAAAGGCGAAATTATTCTTTATAGTAAAAAAAAAGTAGAAAAACACTTATCGTTACTCTTTGCAGTAACTTATTATCCATAAAGTACATTATAATACAAAATTTTGGACAATCAACTCAATTTCTGTTTTGAAGTAAGTCTAAAAAGGCACTGAAACGGGCATAACCCGGTCCATAACAACGTCCTCATAATATATAAGATAGACGTTAGCTTAATATGCATATTTGAGATCAGTCAAAACTTCAGGGCGGAATTGATTTTAAAGGGTTAACTGATACCTACTTTACTGCCTTGCAATTTTTCTATATATATTAAGTTATGGTTTTTCTTGGGGTATGGTTACCATGGCATTTTGCGACTGTCTTGTGTGATTTGCGATTTTTTTATGTATATTAGCTAAAGGTGGTGGATTCTCTTAAGATCTAGTATAAGATTGTGTATCAATTTCATAGAGTGTATAAGTTCATTCTCCTTTTTTCCCAAGTGATGACGAAATTTCAGCTGCCAAAAGCGACTGGGAAAGCAAACAATACCTAAAATATTGCACCTTATAGCACTTATAGCATTAAATACTAAATTTAGATTTAATCTTTAGTACAGTCAGCAATTTGATTGCAAATTTTAATGCAGAAGATATCTTGGTTGGCAAATCGATGCGCACTTAAGGACCTTATAATTTTTTTTAGTTGGCAAGAAGCGCTTCGAACGCTTTAGAGTAAATTAAACTTTTTTGAAATAAATTAATTTTTAGACGTTTATTCTTTAATTTAGATTCAGAATTAAACCTTAAGGATACCGCCAGAAAATATTCAACTACCGGTCAAACTTTAACACCACGTCATACCATTGATGCTATATTGGGGTTAAAAAATCGTCACCCAGATAATGATGGTAAGTGATATATTCATGCCTGTGTTTATATATTTCCTTTATGTGAGGAAAATATTATCATTTAATCTCTTGAAAAAGTGTTCATCTAATTCTCTTTTTATTCGAATTCTTTTTACACGAAATTTGAGTTAACACGATTTAAAAAGAAAAAAATTCTCCATTGTTCCATTTAGCCAATATCTTTTTTAACATGAATTTTTTTTCACACTGATTTTTTGGGAACGTATCTATCGTGCAAAAAGAGAATTAGATGTAGTTGCGTACAATATTACGAGTGATGTAAAATATGTCCGCGGTTTTTTGATCTTCTTTTGAGCCTCTTTCTGTACTCTGCTCTTTTCAAATGATTCCAAACTCTCACTTGATTGATGTTTAGGGCCTTCGCTCTTTCCTGGCAGCTTTCATCTCGGACTTGCTCCATCGATTGCAAAATTTCGCCGACTTTTTCAGTGGCTGGCCGACCAAAGTGAGATGCATCTTTGGAATCAAAATTTCCGGAACGGATTTGAGCAAATCACTCCTTTGTCCTTCGTTCATTCATAGCATTTTCGCGGTACACTTCGGCATGTTTGAGTTTTACAATTGACGTAGGCCGTTTATCTGACTATTCATTTATTTATTTTTAACCAGGTATGAATAAATCACCCTTATTCGATATAATTAGTATCGTATATTCTGTTTATCTTTTTTAAGATTTTAGTGGGCGTTCGCATTTAGCTAAACTTTATTCATTTTCGAAGGTCTCTCGATCAATTTCCTAGGTTTTTACATGGAAGGCATATATTATAAAACTTATACTGTCAGCGATGACTTTCCTTTTATTGCTTTCTTCTTGCTTACAAATTTCTGAAACAATTTATCCGTTGCTCCAGCTCTTGGCCATTTTGTTGAAAGAACTACCAGCATTAAAACTGGCGAAAAAATTTCGCGTATATGTCTCGATCAAAGACTGGCTTTAGATATCAGTCCGATGAGTCCACATATGTTTCACTAAAAGTTAAAAAACTATATCTAGGAATTATATAGTAAAGCCTGTACGAATTGTCGAATTGAAATTCTCCAGATTCTTAAGCGTCTATCTATCTATTAGTGAGGTAACTTGCATCAATAAATAAAACGCTTGTAATTTAGGTACTTTGTAGTAAGTAATATAATTTTGGTGCTTCTCTTTTATATGCAGAAGATCTGCAGAAAACCTCCTTATTTAGATTTTAAAAGCAACGCTTGGATGCATATTGCAATTAATGTTTTTCTTTAATTAGCCACCACTCAGATGCTCAAGCCGAAAAATTCTGGCTCAATTTCGTTAAATAGCAAACGTTAATATCTTAAGACATATTAATAACTCAGGTAAGACTTGGGTTCAGTTAACCTAAATTAACGCTTTTCTTATAATAGTTAAAAATCATAGAGAAGGAATGTGAAATTATTGCTTATAACGATTTTTATACTAGTCAAGTATAAAGGAACATCCGGAAGCTTTTATTATTTTGTTGTACTACAGGCATGTTCTCCGATCAATTTGTCAAAGTTGTAATACCAACTCACGCGTAAGAGCTTCTAGAGTTTTCATAAATTTAAAGCCGGTGTGTTTATTTTTGCAATCCGGAAAGGGTGGGACGGATAGCTGGACAGACAAACTGAAATTTTGACGCCAATTAGAAATATATATATTATTTATAGTATCTGAAGCTGTATAGTATCTGGTGCTGCAAACCCTCAATTGAAAATTGAATATATCCCAATATCTTATAATGATGGGAATAAATACAGCACTAGCAGATATTTGCCTAGCACTCTATGTATGTATTTGTGAAGATCATTTGAAGCTTTAGAAAAAATGGGCGTGATGTGCAGGCATTAAAGCTAAAAATTTATAGCCTAAAAGAAATGTTTGGCTAGAAGCCGCTCCTACAATCCGTTAAAAGACCAAATCCAAAATCGCACAAACTAGTGAGTAGACATTGATGATAGTAACGAGGTTTCTTCGTTTGTTCACTTTAGATTTGAGAAGCAATCGAAATTAATTCCGTTTTAATAGTTTTCTCGAGAACAATATTTGTGCAAACAAACTTTGGTTCAACCGACGGGCTTAACTTTAAAAGCTACTAAGCTTACGGCAAACATGATGACAGAGAATCTATTATAATTAAATAGAAACCCTTTCCGATGTATACATTTGATATAACAGGCCTTAAGTACGCGATTCAGCTATCAAGCGAAAGTTGAAATAGTTTTGAATTAAAGTCAACAAAAATGTAATGGCAAAGATTACAAATTCCTCAGAACAGCATTTTACGTTCCAGCAGCTCCGAACGTTGTAGTAGAACTCCTGTACAATTCAGGCACGGCAGCATTATTAGATACGTGTAAGGAGGAAACAGAAAAGGGTACGGAAGCGGTGACCGTAGCCTAGTGAGTGCGTGCCCAATCGGCTTTATCGTCTGAGTACCCATTATAGTAAACTCTATTGCAATGGAGATTTGAGCACGCGAACACTGCATCGCGATTCTGACCAACTCGTCTATTTATTGGGAAAAGCATAAATGTGAGTCCCTTTATTAATTGTTTATTATTCATGAAATATTTTTGATTAGCGTAAGCAACGAAATTGTTTTAACTGTGCCTGTATATCCAACTGCGGCTGCACATTTTAACTGGCAAACGTACACCATAAACGACATATTATATTTTAAAAGAATAGATTCCTTCACTCCACTTTACAAATATATGTCGCCCAAGAACTATAAATTTATATGAACCTTTTTTTTCTCGTTTTAATATTTTTCAAGAATATTCCCATTTCCAAGGTAGATATAGTCAACCATAAAGTATCAGGCCGTCACGAGCTCTATGAATTGAGTTCAGATAGATTTAATTATTAAAAAATGAAAAAGCAAACCAAATGAAAGTCTGTTTTACTATATACCATTTGACGGATTTCGAAAAATAAAATTATATAAATGTTAAAAATTATGTGGAAAAAATAATAATAATTGAGAACTTGGGTGATTAGCTTTTCGAAGAATCTATTATTTTATTAGTTTTAGTGTTACACGATTTTAAAAGAATTCGTTGTTTAGCGGTTAATCAAGTTGTTATTATATTCCCATTATGTAATAAATTTATGAACGTATTGCACTTTAACTACTAGGCAAACAAATTTGCAAAGCCATCGCGTTTATTGCTTTTCAAAAACCAAGCAAAAAAAATTTAAAAAAAAGTAACAATGGTAAGCTCTAACAAGTTACAAACTGCTTTTAATGGAAATTAAGGCTGTAAAGTACAAAAACAAAAAAGGAGAAACGAGGACACAGAGCTCCGTAGTCATCGTGTGGAAGGGAAAAAAAAAAACAAAAATAAATTTTCAAATGTCACGTAATCATAATCACATCAGGTTCATGTCTAAGATTTAAGTTGATAAGGAAAAATACAATTTATGTAATTTTTATTTCACACAAGTGTACTGTTTTACATATATATATATATATATATATATATATATATACAGCCACACCACATATACATAAACAGACATTCGACAAATTTGCTTTGACTTTTTTTGCTTCTATAACAATTTCAATTGCGGATATAACACGTGATATGAAATGAAAATATTATAGAAAAGGAAAATGTGAAATGAAATTATGAAAAAAAATATCCTTCATTGCTCAAACAAAAAGGAAAGAAAACGCAATCAAACTATAACTTTAGCATTGGTTTCGCTACAGTAATAGATTTGATTTTTTCAAAACAGGTGAGAATACTGGGCAACCCCCAAGTAGGAAGTAGTAGCTGGTTATAGCCTTATATTTTGCAACAGATCCATGATAACTGATAGTGAATAAGAACAATAACAATTCGTCTTTGTGAAGACTTCTTTGCGCAAACTAAAAGGATTACCAGGATAAACAACAACAACTTTATTATAATCCAAGGATTAACTACAGACTAAAGTTTAAAAGAGGCGGATAAAGATTTTAGTGAATATAAACGCAAAAGTTAATTTAAGTTTTCTTAGCTTAAAAAACGTAAACTAATTGCTTTGACTGTCTGTTCATGTATTTGCTGGCTGGCAGTGATGTCACTTAACTTGAGACTTTTTCCGTTTAGAAAAGTGGGGGAGCCAATAAGAAGGTAGGTGTAAACTTATTTTGATTTGAAATGAAAGATTAAACACCAAAAAGTGTGGCTGACGAGTACGTAAAAACATCACCCTATGTTTTTAAGACAAGACCGAGTTTCGCGTAATAAAAAATTAAATAAAATATAAGAAAAATTTATAACGACTAAAAGAAACGAGTAAAAACGATATAGGGAGCCGCCCCACCGTTTCGTGCTCCACCCCGCTTCTCTTAATTCATTAATTCTCGTTATTCATATTTACTTATTTATTTGTTTATTTATTTACACATGAAATTGACTCTTAGAAGTGAATCTTATGCTCGTTATTATTAAAAAAGTAATACAAAGTATGTAAGAAGAAATAAACAAAAAAAATAATAATAATAATAATTCATGTATAAATAAATAAGAAAGAAAGAGAGAAAGAAAGTAAAAAAGGATGTACACGTCTAACACAGAGGCACGAGTGGTCCCCAAATCCATTGAAAACATGCAAAAGTTTGGCAACCGATAGGAGAAGATTGCAAGTTGCTTTAAATACCCCGTAGTACCAAAGATAGATGTTTATAATCAACTCTGAACGGCTTAAACAGCTCATAATTATATTTATATTGGCTAAGCTTACTAAAGATAAAGTTCCTAAAGAAGCGATTCGGGACATTAAAGCTTATTCCATCAAGTAATGTGCGCGATTCGATAGTACCACCTATTAACTTAATTAAGAAGAAATTACCAAGAAAAAATCTATTTCAAAAGCAGGCAGAGACAAGCGAATCCAAACCCAAATTCCTAAGGCCAAACAGCAAGAATCGCTGTTGAACGCATTTAGTTGAATCTACATAGCACCACACAACATATACAAGTATTGGTCTAAC